GAATTGCCTGAACCCAGGAGGCGGAGGTTGCGGTGAGCTGAGATCGCGCCATTCCACTCCAGCCTGGGTAACAAGAGTAAAACTCCATCTCAAAAAAAGAAAAAGAAAAAGAAGTAAGTTTGAGGCCAGTCATAATGGCCCACGCCTGTAACCCAATGCTTTGAGAGTCCAAGGCAGGAGAACAGCTTGAGGCTAAGAGTTCGGAATCACCCTGGGCAATATAGCAAGACCCTATCTCTACAAAAACAAAAAAATTAGCCAGTGTGGTAGAGTGTGCCTGTAGTCTCAGCTACTTGGGAGGCTGAGGCGGGAGGATCACTTGAACTCAGAAGTTTGAGGCTGCAATCAGCTATGATTTTGCTACTACACTCCAGCCTGGGTGACAGAACAAGACTCTATCGCTAAAAAAATTAAAAATAAATAATAATAGGTTTGAGTACCCTAAGTGTATTTCAACTTGAAATGGGACCCAGGGTAGCTACCATAAGGTCTGCAAATCATCTACAAATAATCCACTAAGTACACAGACAGGAAACCAGAAGCTTATTGCAAGCACGAACTACTACGTGTATCTCATGGATGTCCACAAAGCCATTACCCTAAAAACCACACACTTGAGAGAGCTCAGTCTAATGTGGGACCACAAATACCTGCAGAGGAGTCCCCCATGAGACCCTAGTGTGCTTGGAAACTCAAGATGCACGTAAACCCCACATTAGAGCAGCGGGTGAGAAGTGGTAAGTAAGCCACAGCCAGCAGTGGACCTGCAACCTTGGCTCAGTCCTGGCTAATAAATACCCTGGTGTCTGACACGCCTCCTGGGCAGCTCTGGTGAGGTCTCTTGAGGCTGGGAATCCAGTCTAGGAATCCCCTCTGTCACGTGGTTGATTGCTGTGGTTGGACGCTGGTCACACTGGTCCTAAACAAGAAAACCCAGAATTAGTACCTCTGAATAGAGTCATTCCCAGAAAAGAGAACACAGGGTGTTCCTCATCTGGAGGGGGACTTTGACAACCTCTAAAAGTTCTGGGAACTTTCAGAAAGCACACATCTGGAATGGAGCATTCAATCCCGTCAGCACCTGAGGCACTGACAGAAGCACTTTCTCATTTATGCAGCGATGCAGGAAGGGCTGGTCTTGGAGCCCAGAAAAACATTTCTTTCTTTTTTTCTCTGTTTTTTTTTTTTTTTTTTTTTTTTTGACTAGTCAAGTTCAATAGTGAGAAGGTGGGAAAGAGAACAAGGAGTTCAATCTGTAACTGCGAACAATCGAGATAACTCACTATATTCAGAGCAGCCAAAAAGCAAGCATTTCTATACTCTGATCAGAGTATTTATTTGTGTGGTTGCTTATTTCAGTCTGCCCTAGAGAGTAAACAGTCACTTATTACTGTTTGATCCCAAAACAGGAGTCTTTTTTTGGGGGGCGGGGGAGGGGAATGGAATCTTGCTCTGTTGCCCAGGCTGGAGTAAAGTGGCATGTTCTGGGCTCACTGCAACCTCTGCCTCCCAGGTTAAAGTGATTCTCATGCCTCAGCCTCCTGAGTAGTTGGAATTATAGGACGTGCCACCACATCTGGCTATTTTTTGTATTTTTAGTAGAGATGGGGTTTCACCATGTTGGCTAGGCTGGTCTCAAACTTTTTGTTTTTTTTTAAGACAAGAGTCTGGCTGTCGCCCAGGCTAGAATGCAGTGGCATGATCTCGGTTCACTGCAACCTCCGCCTCCCGGGTTCAAGCAATTCTCCTGCCTCAGTGTCCTGAATAGCTGGGATTACAGGTATGCACCACCATGCCCAGCTAATTTTTTGTATTTTTAATAGAGACGAGGTTTCTCCACATTGATCGAGCTGGTCTCGAACTCCTGACCTCAGGTGATCTGCCCACCTCGGCCCCCCAAAGGGCTGGGATTATAGGCGTGAGCCACCACACCTGGCTTCAAACTTTTGACCTCAAGTGATCTGCCCACTTCGGCCTCCCAAAGTGCTGGGATTGCAGGTGTAAGCCACAGCACCCGGCCTCTGAAAAGCAGAAGTCTTTATTACAGAAATAAAATGTACAGTGTTCTAGTAATAGCATGGCATCACCTACAGAAATGGTACCTGCAGTGTTGACTGCCACTCCCCTTAACATATACATTGGGCAGAAAACATAACTTCCACTAACAGATTGGAATCCTATACTGTATGCTGAAAAATGACTTCAGATTGTCTAGTCCAACTCCCTCTCTTACAGATGGCCCCAGTGAGAGTCATCCACGGGACAAAACCAGAAGTAGATGCTCAGGTCTCTTAGAACACAAGTCTCAAATGCCACCACAATGGGAAAAACCCACCTGGTGAAAAGCAGGGAGACTCTCATCTAAACCCTCTGATGAGGCTTCCTTCCACAACTGCTCAAATAGAGTCCTGGCTCTTTGGTCCTCAACTAGTAACTAGATCGTTTCAGTGGCCCAAAGGGAGGGAAAGTTGGAAAGCCTGCGGTATTGGTTACTACAGACAGCTCACAAAGACAGCATGGCCAGAAGCCAAGTGTGTGCATTACTTATCAGGATGGAATGCAACTTAAGGGCTAAGGAAGTGTTCTGGGCTCTGGAAGCCTCAGGTTCACACACAGAGCCACATGAACAGGGAATCCAGAGACCCTTACCTGGTGATGGAACAGCACCTCCTCTTCCAGCTGTACTCCACAGAATTCACATGGGATGATGATGCTGTCCTCCACAGGGCGTGAATTGCTCAGGCCCATCAAAGAGTCTAACTGGTTACTTGCAGCCTGTTGCAAGAAGTTCTGGAAAATGACATCAGGTTCCTCCACCCCTCTGGGGGAAGAGCTGCCAGTAGTGAATGAGGGTAAGGCACGTGAAGGGTTACAGCTTGTCTGTCATTCAAAAAACACAGGTTAAAAACAAACATCAGAGGCTAAGAAAAAAAAAAAAAAAAAAAAACTACATTCCTAAAATGTTTTCTAGAAAAAGTCATGAAATTTTAACAATGCTTAACACTGGGAAGAGGAACTAAAAAGGAGAATACACATAGAACAGTTGGCTTTATTTTTAAATATTTTTGTGGTTTTTAGTGTGTTCACGTGATCATTTTTAAAATTAATTTGAAAAGGTTCAAGGTTCTTCCTACCACACCCATACAGTACAAGAGAGGCACAAATATTCTTCATTCTCTTTGTTAGTGGATTTTCTATGGTACTCATAAGACAAAAACTCCATGTATTCAAATAGTATATTATTCCATTTATGGAGGAAAGTATGTTCCACCATCCAGAGCACAGGGACTACTCAGTAGTTGTGGAAATGCCAGACATAATACAAAAAATTGGCAGGGTGTAGTAGCAGGCACCTGTCCCCAGCTACTCAGGAAGCTGAGACAGGAGAATCGCTTGAACATTTGAGAGGCAGAGGTGGCAGTAAGATGGAGTCTCACTCTGTCACCCACGCTGGAGTGCAGTGGCGCAATCTTGGCTCACTGCAACCTCTGCCTCCTGGGTTCAAGTGATTCTCCTGCTTCAGCCTCACGAGTAGCTGGGATTACAGTAGCTGGAATTAGTGGCACCAGGCTAATTTTTGCATTTTTAGTAGAGACGGGGTTTCACCATCTTAGCCAGGCTGGTCTTGAACTTCTGACCTCGTGATCCACCAGCCTTGGCCTTGCCAAGTGCTGGGATTACAGGCGTGAGCCACCACGCCCAGCCAGTTTTGTTTTTGTTTTTTTTTTGAAACAGAGTCTTGCTCTGTCACCAGGCTGCAGAGCAATGGCACAATCTCGGCTCACTGCAATGTCCACATCCCGGGTTTGAGTAATTCTCCTGCCTCAGCCTCCCGAGTAGCTTAGATTACAGGTGAGTGCCACCATGCCCAGCTAATTTTCGTATTTTTCGTAGAGATGGGGTTTCACCATGTTGGCCAAAATGGTCTCCATCTCTTGACCATGTGATCCACCCACCTCAGCCTCCCAAAGTGCTCAGGCATGAGCCACCGTGCCTGGCCAAGGCCAAGTTTTCATATCTGTATGCCAGTCACCACACGGTAAAGAACATTTGCTATTCCTACCACAGGCACTGTATTAAAATGATTTGTTCAAGGCCTCACATGGCCTGTAACACCAATTATGGTCTGTACACATTCCTACTAAAAGTCCTCAAGTAATCCATGACAGACCTGATGGTCAATCAGCAGTTCCTCTGGGTAGAGCTCCTCACAAAATTCACAAGGCAACATGGTCTCGTCAGCTGCACCTAGGTATTAGGCCACACAATGAGACTCGAGATGAACAAAAACAAACTTGAATTCAACCTTTTATCCCCTTTATGGGGTCTTATATAGAAGTCTGGCTTTCTTTAATGTTTCTTATAGATAGCAATTTGTGGGGCTGTATATTCTCAGAGGGAACCCATCCAAGAGACAAACTCTAGGCAAAAACTTCCATTATGAAATAAGAAATGTGCTTGACCCCAATTTCCTGAGTAGCGGTAAAGTAACAGTATACCTGCTACTCGTTACTCTAATTAAGGAAGCTATTTAAGTGTGTAATAATAATCATAGACAATAATCTTAAGTGTTCTCCATTCATGATTTCAATCCTCAGAAAAAACCTATATGAAGTAGATCCTATAATATCCTCATTTTACAAATAAAGAAATTGAGCAAACTGGCAAACAATATCCTGAATTCTCCTCCCAGTACCAAAATACCCAAAAAATTCTCACTAAAAGTAACTGAAGTGAACAAACTGATACATTTTTAATCTGAGATTCCCAGATACAACATCCTCAGTAAGACTGCTAAACAAATGGGAGAGTGAACAATGGGGGGATATAGGGAAATTTAGCCTTCTGCCCACCTAGATTTTAGTTCTAGGTAGAAGACAGAAAAGTCTCTACCAAGTAGAGTAACTAGAGCTTGGCCCTTACCTAGGTTTGAGGTCACAATCCATGCTTACATTTTTTACGTCCCTATTTTTACATAAATTCACATTTCTGATTTTTTTTTTTTTACTGGAGTGCAGTGACATGACGTTGGCTCACTGCAGCCTCAATCTCCCATGCTCAAGAGATCCTCCCACCTCAGCCTCCCAAGTAGCTGGGACTACAGGCGTGTGCCACCATGCCCAGCTAGTTTTCGTTTATTTTGTGTACAGATGAAGTCTGACTCTGTTGCCCAGGATGGTCTTGAACTTCTGGGCTCAAATGATCCTCCCACCTCAGCCTCCCAAAGCATTGGGATTACAGGCATGAGACACAATGCTCAGCTACATTTATGCTTTTTAAAAGTCCAAGCCAGCCCGACATGGTGGTCACGCCTGTAATCCCAGCACTTTGGGAAGCCAAGGTGGGTAGATTACCTAAAGTCAAGAGTTCGAGACTAACCTAAGTGACATGGTGAAACCCCTTCTCCACTAAAATTACAAAAATTAGCCAGGCGTGGTGATACATGCCTGTAGTCCCAGCTACTCTGGAGGCCGAGGCAGGAGAATCACTTGAATCCCAGAGGCAGAGAGGCTGCAGTGAGCCAAGATCGTCCCACTGCACTCCAGCCTGGGTGACAGAGTGAGACTCCATCTCAAAAAAAAAAAAAAAAAAAAGTCCAAGCCAAAAGCTTGATTTAAAGTTACCCCTATTGTTAGTATCCCTATGTGCCTGCCAGAAGCATATATAAATTCTCTCAGAGGAACATGCCAGAAAACTTGGTGTACACACACACACAGAGCAAGCCTCCATGGATGGTAGAAGCAGAAACAACACAGCACAGAAACAGTTTTTGCTGTTTTTGGACACAAAAGAAAAGTAAGTATATTTCACATGTTTAAAGACATGTTAAAGGGGGAAAATGCTAGGTGTGGTGACTCATGCTTATAATCCTAGTACTTTGAGAGGCCGATATGGGGGCGGATTGCTTGAGCTCAGGAGTTCAAGACCAGCCTGAGCAACATGGTAAGGAACCATCTCTACTAAAAATACAAAAAAGTAGGTAGTAGTACATGTCTGTGGTCCCAGCTTCACAGATGGCTGAAGTGAGAGGATCACTTGAGCCCAAGGGACGGAGGCTGCAGTGAGCTGGGATCAAGCCACTGCACTCCAGCCTTGTTGACAGAGTGAGATCCTGTCTCAAAAAACAAAAGCCAAACAGGGAACTAATGTTTTTTTTTTTTTTTTTTTGAGACGGAGTTTCACTCATGTTACCCAGGCTGGAGTACAATGGCGCGATCTTGGCTCACTGCAACCTCCGCCTCCTGGGTTCAGGCAATTCTCCTGCCTCGGCCTCCTGAGTAGCTGGGATTACAGGCACGCACCACCATGCCCAGCTAATTTTTTGTATTTTTAGTAGAGACGGGGTTTCACCATGTTGACCAGGATGGTCTTGATCTCTTGACCTCGTGATCCACCCGCCTCGGCCTCCCAGCACTCTGGGAGGCCGAGG